GCCTTGATATACATTGAATATGTGGTTCTAAATCTTAGAGATAAATGCAATATTTAAAAGAGTGACTTCTTTTCATTTTCATTGAAAGTATTTAAACTCAATATCAATTAAGATAAGAATTAATGCATCACAGACAGATCCAGAACAGGATGTCCTCGGGATCTAAAGGAAGTGTTAAGTTGTTCCCTCAGAAAAAGGTTGTGTTGCTCAGGAACTTTCGTGTGGTGAATCTACGTTCACAAGAAGTATTGTCAAGAAAAGTCGAACCGACTGAAGTTTCCCTTGCTTAGCAACTACTCTGTGGTAAATCAACGACACCTTTTGAGAAGAAGGCTTTTACATTCTTCCTCTATGTCCCTTTTGAAGAAGGCATAAGCTATAGGGTTTATTCCAGAGTTAACAAGCTGTAGAGGTACTTTGTAATGAAAATCGTTACATAAACGACCAGTTAAAAATAAAAAACTGCAACGCGACATTATTCCGTAACAAATCAGAAACACACACGTTACCAATGCAACCCATTTTACCGCTGACATGTTCTGAGTTTTAACTTTAGCGACCCGTTTGTTAATCCGCAATTGCTTAGCTGAACTGCAATTTCTAGAGTTCTTGTAAACAACATGAAACATGGATGCAAGGCAGAAGATTAGAATTACGCACAAAATCACTTCGAAAAGCAAAAACAAACTGCCGCTGATAGTCCTGAAACGATCGACTGAAATGATCGTTATCAAAAATGCAGTAAGAGTGAGAAGAAAAGGTATTCCCCAGGATATAAGAACCATTTGAATGACTCGGCGGCGCTTCATAAAAGTCAAGTATTTCAAAGGCTTCACCAAGGCGACGTAGCGTTCCAATACTAAACTAAACAAGTTTGATGCAGAGGCGTAAATGAAGAACACCCATGCGCACACCATACTTAATCGGGCTGTGGAGGATGGGGTACACTCCGTTGCAAGATTACAGAAAAAAAAAGGAGCAACAATGATCCCCACACAAAAATCAGCCACTGCTAAAGAGACGATGAACGTGTTGGTTTTAGTGCGAAGCTGACGTTTACTGCAGACGAGGAAGATGACAAATCCATTTACAACCATCGTGAAGATGGAGAGGAACCAGCTGAGAACCCAAAACCACGGTTCCATTGAATTTCTTCTCAAAACCTGTCTTGGACTTTTCGATTGCCTCCGTCGGTCAAGCGAAGAGCGTTCAGAAGCTTTGAGGATGAAAAACTGTGTCTATATAAGGGTTTATAAAACCATCAGGCTCCGCCTACACTTAATTAAAAGTTGATTGTTGCAATTCAAGCTGCAAACATACGTCACCCTTTGACGTTTTTGTGAGAAGCTTTGCGCTCAGTTTGACACCTGTTTATTACTTTCAAGAGGTATTGATCCTCAGTATTATGAAATTTGCCTCCTATTTCAACCATAGCAGAAAACGTTTATAATAACGATAATTCAAATATTATTGAAACATTATATGATGGAAATAGGAGCTGAATTGTCTAAATTTTCGTCTACGACATTCAATTTGCATAGCCGTCCTATTTTGAGAATATTAAACCCCACAAGGAGCAAATAAGAGGTGAACTGATGAAAATTAGCATCCTTTTAGCCTCGTAAGAGACACATTACAAATAAAGATAACTTCGGTATCATTTAAAAGTCGGTGTTATGCCGAAATCGCCCACTTTCACTATCAACTGATTAACGTTACGACATAAATTCATAATGAATTTGACATCTTTTATTATCACCTTTTGCAATGTTTGCGTTTTAAATCAACCAACTAACACGCTATGATCCCTACGTCAAGAGCCAGCCGAGAAAACCAAGATAATACCCTATGATCTCTACATTAGGAGCTAGCCGAGAAAAGAAAAAACCGTGGAATTTCGGCTGGCTACTTATTCAACTGAAAAACCCCAAACCTTGCCAGTTTCCATGAAGAGGAAAATAGAACTTTTGAAATATACATCTGGTTTTCATCTTGTAAAACCTTCTTTACATTATCGTCTTTTTCTAAAAAAATGCACTATCTTTCATTTTCATTGTAAAGTTGTTTACTAAACACGTTACTAGAAATTAAAGAGCTGTCACGAGGCCAGTTATTGAGTCACTAAGGCCTAGGCCAGTTATTAAGATCACTTAGCTAAGTAAACTTTCCTGAAAGCGTTCACCTCTTAATAGTTTCCTTGATAATAGTCCAATAAGTTAAACTACTTTTATACTCTTTCAGTAAGTCGTAGTTGGTGTAGCGAACAACTTTTTTGAGAAGGCATGAAAATTTTCCATGGAACGAAAAAATTTACATCCTTGTCATCAACACCGGCAGATGAAAATTTTCCAGTCGAAAGGGAAAACGTGTTTAAATTTAGCCCCTGATTCCAAATATTCCAAATTGCAATAATTTCAAAGTTATCACTATTACTATCAAATGATACCTTACGATCTCTCGTTTAGAACTGAACCAGCCGAGAAACCAAAACCTTGCAAGTTTCTATTAAATTTACACCAGAACTTTTCTTGGATTACTTTGTTTATCAGAGAAAGAGGGGAAGTAGTAATTATAAGAATTCGTATTTTTTCATTATCATCCACCAATATTTTTACAACCAGCTGCTTCGACTCACAGTTTTCAGAAATACAACTGTGAAACTTTAACAATAAATCAAGCTAGTTTTTTAAGAAATTTATGACAATCTTCATTCATCAGTATCGCTTTCTGTCGAATAACATTCGATCTCTACTACTATGCTTTGAAAAACTTCGCACTCTTCCATAAGGAGAGATTAAGGAGGTTTACAAGTATATTTTAGGTTGTCATCTTGTAAACACTAATCTTCAGTATCGTTTTCTACTTAGCAAGTACGTCGCTTTCCACGGAAAAAGTTGTTTGGCCAACACTGAGGAGAAAAAGGATATGTTTTGACTCTTTGATTTAAATATACAATACAAATTCATAATTCTGAGAACCAGATGTTTTTAGACTGAAATGTGAATAAGCTTAAAAAAATTCTCTCCAGCAAAGAACGGTCTCGACATGTTCAATAAAAAGGTCTTAATTCTAGGAGATAAATGTGCTATCAATACTGACTAAAGTACTTTAACAGGTGACTCGTGTCTGTTTAATTGGAAGCTTTTAAACTAGCAATTAAGATAAGAATCAATACATCGCAGAGAGATCCATTACCGGGAGAACTTTCCTGTGGTATATCAACGACGCCTTTTGAAGAGAAGCCTTTTACATTCTCATCTAAAATACACAACGTAAGCTCACAGTTTTAAGAAGCAGATAGACTGTAACTGATGCAGATCAGGTTCAAAATATTTTCCCCTGGCCTTGATACTTTGTGTAGCTGGTCTTAAATCTTAGAGATAAATGGAATACTTTAATGGATGACCTCTTTTTTTTTTTTTTTTTTCCATTGGTAGCATTTAAACTAAATGTCAATTAGATATTTATGATGATCTTTATGTTAAAGAGTAATTTCTTCATTGGTCTCTCATTCTGTCGACTGACACCCAACAATCTATCGTGAAACCAAAACCTTGCAAACTTCCATCATAGGGGCTGAGGAATTTCACAAATATATTTCAGGTTGTCATCTTTACACACTAATCTTCATAATCCTCCTTTCCTTACCAAGTACGTAATAATAATATAATAAATTTAATACTTATACAGCGCAAAATTCATTATAAGTACATGATCTAATACGCTTTACAATAATTTAAAAAATTTCTAAAAGAAACCGCAGGGAATATGAGAGTTAAATTACAAAATGAGAACAAAATTATTTTATAACAATACATGGTCTAAAAATGTTCACGCAATTAACAGTGTGCTTGTTTAAAAAGACACGTTTTCAGTTGTTTGTTAAAATATTTACGCTACTTACAGCCCTTAGGCTTTCCGGAAGAGAGTTCCAAAAATGGGGCAGTTACCGAAAAAGCTCTGTCCCCAGTGGTGTTGGCAGATCTAATTGCCGGGCGAACTAATAAACGTAACTTTCCATAGAACAACTGTTTGCTAAACAAACCAGCAGAAACTAAAACGCTATCACGAAGACTCACCAAGAAAACTGAGTGTAAAATCGCTCGCCTTGAATGTTGTGTTTCCCGGATTTAAGTCAGACGAAAAACTACAACTCAATACATACTCAACGTCTATATTTTCAACATGGCGGTTCTAAAATCTACTAGCTACGCACATGGCCTGCGTGTGCCTGTGACATATACCATGGGCCGGCATGCCCGACATAGCATTCTTCCCCTCAAAATTCAGAACTAATCAAAAATATATGAGTTCAGTTCAGTTCAGATCATTGGTTTAGTTTTTCAGGGGGTTTCTGCAGCCGACGGGGATGGCGCCTAAGTGGTGGTGTTGCTGAACGGCTAGTCATGTTCTAGTTCTGGCTGCTAGGACAGTTGGTCCGTTGGTTGGTCACATCTATGTCTATGGTTGGTAATTTCTCCATATCATTTGCAGAAGGAGGTTGTGGTTCTTCACTTCCGACGCTGCATGTCGCTGGTGGAATTCCTACTAACACAGCTGGGTCTAGGTGTGGGGTGTAGTACTCCTTATTAACGCTCGGAGTTACTGCAGTCTCCTTGAGTTGATCGATATGTCGTCGCCTTACTGTATTTGGTCCGTCTCTGACTTCGTAGGATAAGGGTCCAGGGTGAGCTGTGATGATACCAGGAACCCACTTATCTCCAGTTCGGTAGTTTCGGGCAACGACAGCTTGACCTACGGGTAACTGACGGGTAGGGTTGTGGCTGGATCGTAACCCTTGGTCTTGCCGCTTTTCTTCCACTCGCTTCCGTATGTTAGGCTTCAGTATGTCGAGTTTCGTTCTTAGGTTTCTTCCCATGAGGACTACTGCTGGTGCCTCTCCNGCTTAACTTGTTCTGAAATTTCTGTTTCTATCTCCGCGTAGTTTGTGCTGTTATTTTACAGGTTCTTCTGCATCAATTGAATTTAAGAGCTTGTTTTCATTTTCGTTTAAACGTCATTATGTGCAAGACTTGTGGATCAAGTGCGTCATCTGCAGAAATTAAAAACAAAGCTTGTCACAAAGCCTTAGTTTCCTAAAAGCGCTTACCTTTGACAGTTTCTCTTGACATTAGTCTAATGAATTAGTTTATTTGCATACCTGTAACTTGGCATGAGCTGTGTTAATCCGAAATTTGACCCTTTGATATGAACACTTAACTTTCCCTTTCCTTTGGGCGATTTTCATTTGGTAGCCGGCGTAGACAACAATGCTATAACATTGCCAACCGTATTCCATTCCATGGATACTCTTCTTGGAAATGCTCGTCAACGAAGATCTTCGTTCGACTAACAGTGAAATACTTGACAAGTATTAAAGTCGTGTGTCGTAGATAAAAATTCAGACAACTCAGCTTAAATGTTCTATTGCTAGTTTTGCTACCGCTTTGACTATTAATAATTTTCTGTAACTTTTTTTCCTTCATATTCAATGGTATTTCGAAGTGAACCCACTCGATGAGTATTTTTTTACTCTTAGGGTAAACTTTGTCCAATAAATATATTTAAATAAATAGTTTAAAAAAACTTTTTAAAAAACTCAGCATTTGTTTTCCAGCATTTATCGTTTCAAAGTGCTGTTTGATATAACTTATCAAAAACACAATGTTCCAAGACATTGAAGGACCGGGTGGACTGTTGTAGAAACACAGCAAAATTAAGGAGGAATATAATGTTTCAACTCTTTTATTAAATTATGCAGGGAAAACTCATGGTTTTAGTAACCGTATGTTTCCAAGACTGTAAGGCAATAATTTAACATACATATTTCTCCACGTTGGCAACGTACGGCCTCGATATCTTCAAGATATGGTCTTCAATTCTAGAGATAAATGTAATATCAACATTATATTTCTTTACCAGGTGAGTCATCTTAGTTTCATTGATGTTTTCAACTAAATAGCAGTTATAAGAATTAAAAGATCACTGGCAGGTCCACAATCGGAAGTCCTCAAGATTTAAGGGAAGTGTTAAGTTCATAATGCATCAACTGAAGTTTTCAAGCTTGGGAACTTCTGTTTTAAACCAACGACGCCTTTTGAAGAGAACCCTTTTACATTCTTGCTCTATGTCCCTTTTGAAGAAAGCATAAGCTATAGGGTTTAT